AAGCACATAATGGCTTCACGCAGGTTTTTATTTCCTAATAAAATAGGTACAATGTAAATCTGAAGTAAAATTAGAAAGGTATATAAACTTACATTCGTTTTTGCTCCCTCCTGCTGTGCTGGTTAAATTTAAATGAACAATACAAAATTTAGGGATGACAAACATTTCGATTATTCCAGCAGGAGCAGAGTTGCCAGAAGGGCCAATATATAATTCGACAACGCTAACAGTGGGTTTACACCAAATAGCAACATAACTAACGACACTAACAACAAGTTTACACCAAATTCAAAAATACTTAGTTCGCCAACATCCCGGCCTCCGTGAATCTAAACAGATTCACCAACATCTAATTTCGCAAGTAGACAAGCAGGACGTCTGAACACCCCTGTTTGGGTTTGTACTTCGGCACATCGGACCTGTGAGTCTTTGCCAGGAAACGCTCGAGTCACTTTACCCATCGGCCATCGGGAACGATGAATGTTGCTATCGAAGACCAAGACGACGTCTCCAACTCGTAGCGGTTGCACAGGCTGAAACCATTTTGTCCGGCGGCACAGATCTGGGAGGTATTCTGAAAGCCATTTTTTCCAAAAACGTTGCTTGTTGTACCTTCCTCCACTGCTTTCTGGACGGGCGGTATTCCTCTTCACGAGGATGAGGTGTTTGTTCCGAGTTAGCTGTACCTAGAAGGAAGTGGTTAGGGGTTAAAGGTTCGTCGGTGGGTGTGTCTATTGCTATGTGTGTTAGCGGCCGCGAGTTGACTAGATTTTCTGCTTCGCACATTAAACTATAAAGGCAGTGCTCCTGGAGGTTTTCGTTATAAAGCGCATGTCCCATAGCACGTTTTACGCTGCGCACTAGGCGCTCCCAGCATCCTCCAGCATGAGGATTTAGTGGGCAATTGAACACCCATTATATGCGGTCATTTGCAAGTATGTCAGCGATTTTTCCGGAGTTGAATTCGGTTAGTTGTTTTCGCAGTTCGTTATCGGCACCAATAAAATTTTTAGCGTTATCTGAACGTATGCGTAATGGAGTACCTCGTCTGCTCATGAAATTTCGGATGCATAACAAACACGTACCAGTGCTGAGATCTCTAGCGATTTCCATGTGTACAGCACGAATTGTTAAACACGTAAAGAGCGCAATCCAACGCTTCTCCTGGCGCCGTCCTATACTGACGAGAAACGGTCCCATATAGTCCAGGCCTTCGTAAGAGAACGGCCTCACAAACGGTGTCAGCCTATCTTTCGGCAGTGGACCCATACTCGGAGTTTCAGGTTGAGCTCTTTTAATTTTGCAAAATTGGCATTCTCTTGCAGCGCGACGCACTGATACCCGTGCATGAGGTATCCAAAATTTCCGACGAATTTCTGCTATAGTTGTGCCTTCGTTTTGATGTTTCAACTTTCGATGATAATAGCTGACGACTAAATCAGTCACGTGATGCGCTTGAGGTAGGATGATGGGCCTGCGAGTATTTATTGGGACTGCATCCGCATTGTCGATTCGCCCCTTCATACGGATAATACCCGCATCATCCATGTATGGTGAAAGCATCAACAGCTTGCTACTGGATTTTAGTTGGCTTTTCCGGCTTAAGTCGTTATACTCCTCGGGGTAGGCTGCCTTCTGCACGCCTCGACAGATCGATAGCTCCGCGATCTCCAGCTCGTAAACAGTTAGCGGACCACCTCTTTTATCCCGTTGGCTGTTTTGACAATTATCGCAGAAACGTAACATCCACGCAACCACTCTCGTTAGGCGAATGAAACACGAGAACCTTTCGAAGAAGTCGTTTTCCACACACGTATATGAGACGAATTTCGCACGAAGCTCCTCTCGAGCTTCTGCATAGGTTTCCGCCGTTGGCCAATGCGTCTCGTCCTTGAGCAGGAAGTCAGGTCCACTCGCCCAGAAGGATTGTCGTTTCTCATCTCGAACACGCGTACCAAAGTCGGCTGGATTACATGCGCTAGGTAACCATCTCCATTCACACTCTTCGCTGTTCTCTAAAATTTCATTTACACGATGCGCTACGTACGGTTTGTAGCGGCGGTGGTCGGATTTTATCCAAGCTAAAGTTGTCTTCGAATCGCTCCACATGACAGTCTTGATAGGCACCATATCATGGTTTTGCAGTATCGCAGCGCGAAGACGGACCGCAAGGACCGCCGACTGTAGCTCCAACCGTGGAACTGTAGTGAGTTTTAAGGGAGCGCATTTCGCTTTCCCCATTACAAAGGCCAGTTTGGTCGCTCCTGCTAATCCGTCGATTCTCCAGTATGCTACTGCTGCATACGCCGCATCGCTTGCATCTGCGAACACGTTGTGCTCCACTGGAACTCGTAGGAAATTCTCGTCGTAACATCGTGGAATGCTTAAATTTTGAATTTGCTCCAACATTTTAACCCACTTTAGCCACATTTCGTACGCATCTTTCGGTATACTTTCGTCCCATTCCGTCTTCCGTCTCCACACAGCTTGTAGTACCAGTTTAGCTGCTAATGTAAACTCCGGTGCTAGGCCGAAAGGGTCAAACACCGACATTGCTATACCCAATGCTTCACGTTTCGTGGGTCTTCTTTCGCCATTGACTACAGCTTTATCGACCTTACTAAGAATAAGCGCAAATTTTAGAATATCTTCCGCAGTATCCCAATACATACCCAGGACTTTCTGGAAACCCTCCTTATCGAGGCTGAAGTCTGCTGCTGTAGCTGCATTACCGTTTAACTGCTCAGTGACACTCTTGGCATTCGATACGAACCGCTTTAAATCGAAACCGCCTTGTTTATGAATCCAACGCACTTCATTTGTTGTTTGTACGGCTTCTTCCGGTGTGCTAAAGCAGTGTTCGAAGTCGTCGACATAGTGGTTATCAATAATTGCTTTTACGGCGTTGGGAAAGGCTGCTTGAAACTCTTCCGCGTTCTTGTTTTTTACAAACTGAGCTGAACATGGCGAGCAAGTCGCTCCAAACGTCATGACTGACATTACGTATTCGCTGATGACCTCGTTAGTATTCCTTCTCCATAAGAAGCGTTGTGAGTTTTGGTCTTCCCGCCGTATTTCCACTTAATGGAACATTTCCACTATGTCTCCGCACACACCTATCGCCTTTTGTCTGAACTTCATAAAAATCGTGGTTAACGACTGGCACAAGTCTGGCCCGCTGAGCAGGACTGAATTCAGAGAAACTCCTTCTACTTGGGCAGCGGCATCAAATACTATCCGTAGCTTTTTTGGTTTGTTCATATTGCGAACTCCGAAGTGAGGTAAATACTACGCTCGACTTCCCGTTTGTTGAACCTCTTCTTCGCTCAAGCGCCGCGCATAGCCTTTCTTCTGATATTCTTCCATGATATGCGTATACTGCTTCCGGAAATCTTCATCACGACCGAATTTTTTCTCTAACGCGAACAGCCTTTTCTTTGCCATCTTCTTACTGTCAGGTAAGAAGACATGATCGCTCTTCCAGAAGAGCCCTGTTTCAAAACGTCTCTCCTTTCTCGCTGTTGTTTGCTCGAGAAGATCTTTTGCCCTCGTTATAGCGGCGCTGTCTACGTGCCTTGCTTCGGAGTTAACGCTCAGGGCATCATCTACGATGTGATTTCTTACCAAATTTTCTAAAGTATCTTCGCTTCCCACTTGCGCAAAAAACGAATGGTGCTGCTCATATTCATTGCCGTACACTAGCCAGCCAAAGCTTCGTTAAGACCACTGCTGGACCTTGTTGTCCATCTGCTACCGTTCTCTTCGCTACTCCCAAGTGTGCATTATCAAGTCCGATTAACAGTTGAGGACACGCCGAATTAAAACTTGCAATTGGTAGATGCTTCGTATATCTATATTTACATTGCAGCTCAGAAATATCCATGGTTTGCTTGGGGAGTTGTAAATCGTCGACGACCTTGACATTCTTCATGCTGAATTTTTTGCTTCCGGGCAAAGGGTTAGAAATTTGTATGTCAACCCCAAACGCCAACTTGGTTACCGTGTTGTTTCCAAGCCACTGCAGCATCAACTTCTCTTTCGCACCTTTTAGTCCGAGCCTGTCAGCTAAACTCCTGTTCATCAGCGATATTGATGAACCCTCGTCCAAGAAGGCATAGCATCGTATCTCCTTTTCATTGGCATACAGCGTCACTGGCAAGATCTTGAATAGCACCTTCGAACTCCCTGGTTGCCTCGTAGTGTTGGTAAGAATCAGCTGCTGTTGTGAGCGTTGAGTCTCGTACTGTACCTCGCACGTACCCGTATTTGTAGCTTCGTCGGCATGTAATATCTCATGAACCATCCTTGAGCAATAACGCCCCGAGCATTTATGCTTGTACGTACACCTGTTGCTTCTGTGATCACTCTTCAGGCAATTAAAACATAGTTTTCCTTCGCGCACAAGTCTCCACCATGATGTGTGATTCATTTCGAGAAAACGCTTGCACTTCGATAAATGGTGTGCCTCCGAACACAGCTTACATGGAGTCCGCCTGGCGCTCTGGACGTGATCCGTATGAAAAAACCTTCCTCGAGCTTCGCCTCTTCCTTCTGATGAACGCGCTTGTGAGCTTGAAGTAATGCCGGCCGCGTTTACCACACGCGATAGCTCTTGCATCCAGTTGCTGAAGTGACTCACCGTAGGTCTCGGTACAATATTCGCTGCATAACGTGCCCAGTCTAAACGCCGCTGTATGGGAAGCTTGAGAAGTAGTTCTTCCATAAGAGTAGGATTACTCAGGTGGTACTCACACCCTGCAGATTCTAGAAAGGTCGCCAAATTTTGAACCTTCGTAGCGAAAGGTACCAATAACTCTAAACGATTTTCTGAGATTTGTGAAAAGTTACGTATTCGTGCAATTTGACTTTTTACTAACAATTCCGGCCTTCCGAAACGCTCGTGCAATGCTTCCATAACGCGGGGTACATTGCTGCTATGGATTAGTAAACATTCGACTACCTCACGCGCCCTGCCCCTAATTGCCTTTTGAAGCCGTAGCATATTTTGCCGTTCGTTGTAGCCATATTCTTCGGTGGTCATACAAAAGGATTCGCGAAACATTGGCCACGCTTCGGGTTTTCCATCGAATTCTGGAAGATCGTGTAACTTTTTACTAGCATTCGATCTGGTGGTGGCCAATGTTCGGTTTAGGTCTGCTAAAGTTTCTACAATTGAAGCGCCACTTGCCTCAGGACCACTTACTAAAGAGGGTGCGATGCTGGGAGCCATTTGCTCATTAGAGGTTGGAGGAGCATTATCACCTAAATTACTTAGTTTCGCTATGGCATTTGTAAGCTCTTGCAACTGCTTCGCCATAGCAATCATTTGTGTTTCAAGTGGCAATGGTTGTTGCGAATTCATAGCTGCACCCTGTTCACGCATAGTCGTATTCAATTCGTCGTTGCTGTTGTTGTCCTCGTCTTGCATACTGGATGCTGAACGAGTTAAAACCATGTTCTTTAAAATGGCCGCAAACCGCTATTTTCTATTAGACACGCGCTTCTACCGTTATGAAGCCTACTCAGCTAATTGCGCTTTATGTTGACTAAATATAACACACACACTACACACCACCGAACTTACCCCAATCACCCTCGTTCACTTCACCTTCGCGGCCTCACTATCAAGGAATCGTCGAGACAGCTTCACAAAATCGCCAGTTCAATGCTCGGGAGCGCCCGCCAAACGACCTTTAATCAAATTTGTTGACCGGGCCTCTGTTAACCGGTTTTAGTTATTGTAGTCCGGATCTCTGTTAACCAGCTTTCGTTGGTGATGTTTAAGCCTCGGGGTTGGGTGCAAATACGTTTAAATAGCAAAGGAATGAAACAAAAAGATGTTCCGGCACCGAGGGACGCAAAGGAATAAAAACGAGCAATATCCGCTTTATACGAGCGGTGAAAAGCACATAATGGCTTCACGCAGGTTTTTATTTCCTAATAAAATAGG